GGCAGGCGCAGCATTCGCAGCATTGCGTGCATCACAGTTGCCAGGGCGGCCAAACACGCTTGTGCCGCCAACTTTGGCCTTACGTAGTTTTCAGCTGTCGCTACCATGGGGCGGTCCCATTTTCCTCTTACGCAACAAAATCCCACATGAAAAAGAACATTGTCTACAGGAGCGCGTTTTTGCTCCTAATGGGGCCATCATAAATTAGATTAGAACTCCTCACACCTTTGGGCTAATGGGGCGTACCCTGGACTAATTGCGCGTGATAAAATAACTCTAAATCAGAACTCTTCACACCCTTGGACTACTGGGGCATACCCTGGACTAATGGAGCGATGATAAGATCAAGTCAGAACTCTTCACACCCTTGGACTAATGGGACGTACCCTGGACCAATGGGCCGATGATAATCAGAACTCCTGGTTGATGTGCTGTTGCTGTTGCTGTTATTGTTGTCGTCTTGTTGTTGTTGTTGTTGTTGGTGGTGGTGGTGGTGGTGGTGGGGGGTAGTGGTGGTGGGTGGTGGGTGGTGGTGGCGGCGGGGGTGGCGGTGGTGGTTGCGGCTGTAGTCCTATCCTTGCCCAAGCATTTAGGTGCTATGGTTGCCGTACGAATGGAACTACTGTCGTCATCAGAGTTCAATTTGTGTAACTAAGGCTGGCCTCTAAACAAGCAAGCTAGATGAACCATGTAAGTGCTTCTGTGCTTCTGGGAATATTGTTGATCCCCATGCAGCCTAGGAAGCAAACAAATTCCAGCCCCCAGCCCAAACATGGATTACCCGTGAACCTGAATGACGCCAACAAGTCTTAGACCGCGAACGCTGAGATGCCTTTGCTAGGTGCAGGGTGAGCTTACACAGCGTGCTTGGGCCAAGGGCGTCCAGGCCAGCGAAACAGTGGTTCGAGATTAGGGGAAAAAGGCTTTAGGTCGTAAAGACCCACGCGGGAGCGTCGGGGCAGGTACCAATTCTAGCTTAACCCGAAGTCGGTCGTGTGCGGATGAGTCATTGCAGCACGATTATCATATTTGCGACGTAGGTAGGAAGTACCGTTTCAGGTTTGCATGGGGCTTACGGCGCAGGCTACACTGCCTCATCCTGAATTGGGATTTCGAGACTTGGAAATACGACCATTACTGTGGGGCACTGTAGGGATTCACTCCCCCGTTCGCAACGAGGCATGAGTTAGAGAATGGCGTTCTGCAGCTCAAACATTTGATTTCTCATTATGATGCCTATGCAGCCCCATACGGGGAATCTCTGCTCTAAGAGGGTCATGTAGAAGCGTGAATGATTTCCAACATTATCTCCTCATGCTCCAAAGTCAACTGCAGTATAGTTTACCCGAGACCTCTCTTCTCACCATATAGGCCCCTGCGGAACCCCCAATCACTAAAGACCCTTTGAGACCATGGAAGGGGGATGGGTGCCACACCAGCGCGGCGATAGTTGCAAGGGCAGTTGCGATGCTCGTGAGTAGCTGGGTTTGCGGGGGATGCTGGGTTTACAAAGGGTTCTAGAAGGAGGAGGGGGTTTACGGGTATCCAGGCATGCTTGTTTTGGCTATCCATTTAAAGCGTTGCACATGATTGCATATGAACCCCTAAGTATTACTGGGGGCCCGCGATGGCATCTCTGGAAGTTCTCCTGGGTGCGCGTTTTGGGTTAGGGCTGCGTTGGGTCCTGTCAAAGGCCTAGGAAGAGTTCATTGAGTCCCTATGTATGGCTGAAGAGGTATGGCTGACAAGAAGCAACTCAAAACTGGTTCAGCCCCGAATCCTGAGCCCTAAGTCTTCAATCTTGAGCCATGTAGCCTTCAACCCAACCTTCAATTGGCCCAGAGGTGATGAACGAAGGTCCTGGCCATGTACCTCTGCATAAGCAGCTCGGTGGGATTCATTTTGGTGGTCAGGGGTTTTAGGGTTTCAGGTTTAAGTACTCAACAGGGGTGTCCCAAATATGGGACTTTTTTTGCAGCAGCGCAAATCTACATCCAGGATGCTGCTAATTCTGGGAAGCATACTGAGACATTAAGAGATCTAGGATGAACAGTTCAGGCTTCCTTTGCCGCTGCATTGGGGATGTTGATTACCCTAGCTCCCACCAATCATCGTCTGGTATTAGGATACTGAGTTGCGTGTCTCTGCAGTCTCTCAAGACTATGATGCTGGAGTCGTCCCTTAGACTGGGTCATTGCTTGACGTAATCTCTTGGCATGATAACACTTACTGCTCCGTTCTTTTAGTATCCGAATAAGGAAGCAGTAGCACAGAAGCTGCAAAGATGCGTTCTGAGACCCTAATAAAGACACCCCAATTGATTTCATCCTTATCATAAGGACCCTTCAAGAATGTACCCCTAATTTTGGTAAACCCCCATGTCCTAACAATCCTCGAGATACAGGTCTGAATTTTCTGGGCGCACAATGTCCAGATCTTGATAGTTGGGGTATAGACGCTGATCGCTCGAGACCCAAGACTGTTTGCAGATAGACTTGGAAAACGCCCGGCGAAAGTAACAGGCCCCAACAATGAGTATTCTCTTTGTAGCACCAGGATGAATAAGCAGGCAGACCTCTCAGTGACTTGCCAACCCTTCGCCAGCATCTTTCTTAGCAAGCTGCCTGAGTGATGACAGGCTTTGTAGTTAACTTTCCAAGTGGCACGAGTTCCCAGCGTAGTGCTCCGAGAAGCCCCTGAAGGTGCGCCTGTGAGGAGAAACAAACCTTCTCCCTTTTCGGCAAGCTCGAGATTCAGTTCAGTATGAACTGTTAGGATACTGCCCCCCACTCCAGAACAGCCATGACGAGGCATCATGCCACTACAATCACGATGTGGTTGGTGGACAGTTGAAGGTTGGGGGCAGTACGCAATGTATCTTAGGTGGACCCCCCCACCGTGTAATAGTAGCTATGGAGGATAATATGGACTATATTAGGGTCCTCCTTTATTACGGAGTGGGGGTCCTCCTTAAATGTATCCCTGTCCTGAAGTAGGAAGAGTCCCAATAGTTAGGAATCAAAAGATATGGGATGTTGCCACCAAGCCTATTACTACTATTCTTACTACTCTTACTATTGTTCCTATGATTACTATTGCTACTTACTATTTTTATACTTTGTATTATTCCTATCTTCATTATTACTACTATTTTCCTGGGGGGACCATGCCTCCCCTCAGTTGGTTAAGTTGAATGTATGGTACATCAGGGATGACGGGTGGATCATTGAATGGACATTGCTGTGCGCTACTATTCATTAGCGAAAGGCTTTCAGTTCGAATAGCCAACAGCTACGCCATCACAGGTTTAGGGTTTAGGGTTTAGGGCTGAAAGAAGCTCTTCAATGCGGTCATAGTTTCAATGTGGCTCTGACTGTCAGGTTCCAAGAAAACTGCATCGTTTCCAACACTACCCCGGGTCCTTGATACAGAAGGACGTTGTTTCGCTTACTGGTTCTTAGTAGAGAATAAGGGAATATAATCCCCATATAAACCCTGTATACTACATTCGCTAATTCCCTACTAACCCCAAGTAAGTTCAGGAACAACCGAAGCTCGGGACCGATCTGCACCCAGGATTCCGGAGAACATGCGCAAGCAGCTGGAGTGGTGTCATGAGGCGGGTTTCGCCAAGCAAGTGAACAGAGGACCGATACATCACGGAAAGCACCTTGTTGGACAGTTTTCTGCCCTGCTTAACATTACATTGTCACTCATCCATTGTTTTGATTTGGGATGTCATTGTCATCTTGCTAATACTAATAGTATTAATATAATACTAAACCCTAACCCTTAAATAGTAGTATGCATTTTTTCCATTATCCTAATATAACCCCATTATAACCCCAATACAGCCCCAATAATATGGCCCCTATATCCCTGGTCATGGTTCTGGCCATGATTGGTACTCGTAGCTGAGCCCACCTAGTGACTGCTGCTCTCGTCTAAGCGAACCTGCTTTCCAGGTCTAGTTTCCTGTCTCAGAATCCGATGTCCCCTCCCAAATGGTAGCGTTCCCGAGAGCATGCGGCACACGGATAGACTGGACCAAACATCAGGAGTTCCAAGGAGGAAGTCAAGCAGTAACCTTCAGGCTGTAGAACAAGTTCAGAAAAAGGGGTCATATTGGTACTATCATGGGGTTATATTAGAATGATAAAAATGAAAATAGAAGCTACTATTTAGGGATTACGGCTTGGTATTATATTACTGTTATTGAGAAACACCTTCCAGACCGAAACATAACCCAGGAATGCCAAGAAATCAGCCTTGTTGCAGCTGGACGCATCTCGGTAGGTTCCCTACATTAGTATTCCCTAAACCCTAAAGCCTAAAAAGCATAGGTTGGCATGGTTGGTTTCCTATTGTTATCTGGGGCCTCATGTTGTCTTCCTGCAGTTGGGTACAGGCAAGCGTAGCTTTGACAACCTCTTATACATACCACTAATGAATCGTTTTGCTCCTGGTGTCCCACTGACATCATAAGCTGTTGAAGCCCCGGCATGGTTTTGGCCTAAAGTTTCAGTCAATTGGCCAAAAGAACCACTTGAAATGTTTTGCGGTCTCAATGCTGAGCCGCCCCTGTTTCCCAACAAGGAAAATGCCTCTTGCGTGATAAGATCCTCGCTTCGGATGAACTTCGGAAAGTCCAACCCTTCTGGAAGACAGTTCTCATGCAGTCTTGACTGGGAGCATAAAAGGAGATATAGGGATAATGAAAAAGAAAATGGAATCTACCATCTTCTAATAGGGTATACAGACTATAGGGACAAAATAAGCATAACGGAAAAGAGCATGGAAACCGCACGAGACCAAATTCACAACTCGGCTGATGACAGCGCTAGGAGCAGCGGTAGTATTTCTAGAAATTGCGCACTACCCTTAGCCCCGCATGTTTGTCGGCTTGACTGCGTTGCTTCCCAACCAACCCTAAACCCTAAGCCCTAAGCGCTAAACCCTAAACCGTAAACCCTAAACCATAACACCTTGGCCTTTGCAAGGCGCCCTTTTACACTTTGGGCCCCCTGACCACCGACATTGCACCCGGCTACGATCACATCACCTCGGCCATTGGTGCAGCGAACATTGGAGCCATGGGGTCTCTTAGTTGAAGACAGGGCTTTAGCGAGAAAGATAGTTTTAGAGCTTATGTGGAAAATTATGGGGTTACATTGGGGATATATTGGGATAATGGAAAAAGAAAATGGAAACCACTATCTAGGGTTTAGGGTTTGGGGAATGTAGGCTTTTGCACCATTGGGATTGACTTTGTTCACACCCGTAGATCTTGAAAGTTGCAACGCTTGCAGTTTTCCATTTTCTTTTCCAGTATCCCAATATATCCCATAATACATGGGTTCCATCATAACCCCAATAGAACCCCATTATAAACCCAATATAACCCCGAAATAGTAGTTTCCATTTTCTCTTCCGTTATCCCAATGAAAGACGAGCGGCACACGAATTCTGTAGGGATCCGGGCAGCATACATAAGGGGAGCGTTCACAAGAATAAGGGAGTCGCGAGATGCCCCCCCCCCCAAGTCTCTCGTAGAGCGCTGAAAATGTATCTACAATTTCAGAATCTACTCATCTTGGGACTTAATACAACGTCTCCTTCACCATGCTTCTTCTTGTTTTGCTCTGAGAGTTGAGGGTTCAGTTTTTTTTGATTTTTCTGGGGTGGTTGGGGTTTAAGGCTGGGATGTCCCCACGGAATGCTCGCAGAACATTCGTAGAAATCTATTTGGAATGTGTCCTGAACATCCTGCACTCTGAAGTACATATGTCCGATGAGCTGGGAATTGGAGGAATCATGCATCCAACTCAATCGTGCTGGTATCGATAACAAAGGGGATACGTCGAAAGCTGTAAGATCCTTATGGGACCCCATCAGTGTGAAACGCTCCTGGGTGTCACCAGTCCGATGGGTTCTTGTAGGAGTTTGACAAGACCTGTGCATTGCTCGCTCTTCCGTGAAGCAGGGTCCCAGTAGAGAATACGTCTCAGATCACTTGTCATACGTGGCTTGGAGGCACAATGAACTGCTGCTGCAAAGCAATTTGATTCGTTTCAAGCCGTAAACCTCTAAACTAAACCCTAAATCCTAAACCCAGCTTCGATATCTTGCCAGCACCTTGCTCCCTGACTAAATGGGCGGCGTTTCTTGCAGGTACGAGCGCTCCTTTAGAGACAGAGGCAGCATATCTCATTCTTCAGAGACTCATGGCCATCTTGCACTTATCGCGCAATCGCTTCCGTTTTGCTGGCATTCTTCTACTCTGTGTTGGTATATTTTGAAAGCACTTGGTGGTTCAATTCAATACCAATATATATATACATATATTCAATATATTCGTTATTCTGAACTAGATATGCTACCCAAATATTGCAAGTTGAACGTTGAGGCGCGTTCCGATCAGGATCTTCGTGAACAAAAGCACCCCTGAAAAAAGGTAGTCCTCCTGAAAAAATTGGACCCAAGAGGTTGGATACTGACCCCGCTAAATCACAGTTGCAGAATAATTTGAATGTAGTTATAGCCTTCTAGAACACCCCCCCCCCGCACCATAGACTGTTCTTGAGTGGGGGTAGTACCCAACCAAAAGGCACAATCTGCGAGATGTGGAGACCTGCTATTTACCGACCTTCAAGCGGAACCCATTCCGGGTCTCCAAGCCTTCTGGCTTCAGCTGAAAGCCGCACAGGATGGTACTAGAGCCCCAGGGCTTCAGGTAAGGGCCACCGGGAAAACTGTCTGAGGATTAGGGCGGGTTCTCGGTGTGTCGGCTCATCGTCTGTAACTGTGGACCGTGCGGAGCTGAGCCGGTGACACCGCGGTCGTGGTCCTCGTTGCAGTCATCGCCTTTGGACGCTCCTGTTTTCATCGGGCGCGTCATCGTGCCAACAGTCATAGGTTCAGGCGGGCGGGAGGCAGGGTTCTGTCGCTTCGGGACCCTGGCATCTTGGTCCATCACTTCGCGGGTCTATCAGATTTGTAATGCTAACAATGGCAGGGAGATCGTAAGGGCACGAGGGTCCGGGCTTTTGTGGGTTCAGGTCTAATGCTCAAGGCTCCGGTTTGAAGATTCCCAGTTGAAAGGTGCACCCACACCTTGAAATTTTAGACCCAAGGATTCACGCCGAGGTCAGCATAAGCAACTTCCCAAGTCCCAGGCCTTAAGCTTCAACCTGGCTCCTTGCACCACTAGCCCAGGCTTCACTAAATGGTGTCCCTGAAGTCATACCAAGAAGCCCACGAGAGTTTCTGAGTGTTGCTGAAGTTAAAGGTTGTGAACGCGCTTGAACCCAAAGCCAAATTCTTTAAGACATTGCCGAGGACAGCGATGCTCTGCTACGTGACCCCAAAGGACACTTAGCTTGTACCCCAGTAAGCGTTTACTTGGAGGTTCATGGCACTCATGAGTGGGGCCCTAAACCCTGAACCTGATTGCTACGCATCCCACTTTGCATTCCACCGTTAACCACATACTCACTTTCTAAGCCGTCCCCCCCCCCCCAAAACCCTAAAGTAGTTTATAGCCCCAATCGCAGCATATGCCAATTCCTTGTTCCACAATCGTCAGGCCGAAGCAGTAAGCCATGATCTCTACTGTCCTGGTCTGAATGCGGTTCGGGTGTTAAGGGTTTCTAGTCTAGTTTGCGTTGATCCTCAGTCCGCCCCCCGGGCCTAGCCTTGTCGAGTTTGTTGTGAGTAGCTGCCGTGCTTGCCAACCATCACATGTGCGGCATTGTGCATGTGTCAGCGTCAGACTTGCAATTGGCCTATTGATACACTAGGTATGCTGGTTGGGCTTGGTAATGTGGTCGCTGGTGTTCTTGGGCCCAATATGTTTTTGCACATGGCCTGTGGGTGTGGCCTATTGATGCGGTTCGTTGGCTTGCTACATTGGCCGTTGGCGTAAATGTGCCTGTTCGGTTGGCCTATTGGTGCTGTTGGTTGCTGCTTGCTACATTACTTGATTGCGCCGCATGTGCCCCTGCACTTGGTATGTTGGGGGTATTTGCTACTGTGGTCGTTTGGTGTCGTTGGGGCCAATGTGTCATTAAACTTGGCTTCTTCATACGGTGTGTTAGTTGCGCTTGCTACATTGGAGTTATTGGGCGCGATGTGCCTCTACACTTGGCCAATTCGTTGGTGTTTCTGGAACTAGTGTACTTTTGTATTTGGCCTACTGATACGGTTGATTAGTCGTTGGCGATAGAGCTTAACGTGCATCTGCACTTGGCCTACAGATGCTGTACGTTTGTTGCGCTTGCTACATTGGCAGTTTTCGGCCCACTGTGCCTCTGCGCTGGGGTCTGGACCTTGGGTGTATGGTCCTTACAGCCTTCTTCTCATTCCAATTCTTGCCAGAGCAGTGTCAATCTTGGTGGTTCCACTACTGTATTGCAGGCGCGTCTGAATGTTTGTGCGTTATGCAGGAGCATTGGTGAGAATCTGCGGAGTATATGGGGGGCCCTTCATGAGAAGGAGGGCATCGCACACATTGGAGTCCTTCCCTCATTGTTGAGGGTCATGGCTGGCTAGAAAATGTCAGGAAATACCATGACCATGTCTACTAGACTACACTAGGGTTTAGGGTTTAGGGTCAGTGACCCGACCTGACCAGGGGACTTAACACCCCAGTCCTAACTAGCAAAAACCTTCAAGCAAGCCCTTCTTGGACTTCAACTTGTGAGCACTGCGAGGAGCACTTGGGATTGCCGGACCGTGAGGACGTGAAGGCGTGCAGACTGACGTCAGTTGTTTTGAACTACAGGGCCTGTAATAGGCAATAGGGGTGAATCCTTGGGGTTTGGGCACGGTACAGGGCGAATAGATCACATGGTTCTGGGTGTTTGCAGTGTAAGGCTTATGGTTTCACGCATTGCAAATGTTGGTGGCTTTGGGGTCGTGAATTGGTCAGGATTTGCGGTGTTCAAGTTTGAGTCCATCAGCATGCGCAGCTTCTATTCTCGCCCGCGAATCCTGAACTCTAAATAACCTACTGGGCTGAAGAACCCCCCAAGACCATGTAACCGTATATGAGCCTATATCACCCCTATATAACCCCACATAGCCCCATATAACCCTATATACCCCTACATAGCCTTATATAAACCTAAGATATGCACATGGGAAAGAGGGGGAGGTAGACGCCGTGACCTGGCCTACTAAACGTGAGGCTCAGGGTCTAGGGCTTAGGGTTTAGGGTCCAGATGAAAATCTGTTGCGCACCAAAGGAAGCTTACTTCAAGCCTGCAAAACGCACCAGGAATCTTTCACACGTCGGGACAATGTTGAGTTTAGGGTTTGTACAGAAGCTCGCAAGCTCGCAAGGCATACACCAGCTGAGTCAACTACCTGAAGGGTTTTGCACAGTACTTCCTGATGGAGACCACAAACCCAAAGAGCCCCACCACTCGAAATGAGTGCTCTTCCGCACGTATTTGGGAAAATACTTCGCACCTGGGAGACTCCCTCGTTGCAATGAGGATCCGCGATTTCTAGTTTCGAGAGATGACTGGCAGCCGCGGTCAACGCGAGAACACATTGTGTTTTAGTTGCTGGCTAGTGGCTTCCTTATGATTCGTATTTTTTCTTCTCCGTGTAAAAGTAAAAGGAACTACATAACCTGGTAGGCCCATTGTAAGAGACAGGATCTCCCTTTCAGATCTATTGGTGCGTGGTCAGTGCCAGTGCACCAACCCAAGAACCCCAAGCCCTAAGCCAGTAGCACCTGCCAGAATTTCGGGGTTTAGGATTTTCTCAAAACGGACATACTTCCAGGGACCTGACAGATGTTGCGTGGATATGAGGAGATTATAGGGTACCCCAACTCCCAAACAAGATAGGGTTTGGGGTTCGAACAGCGCTGGCAGTAGCCCGCTGCATGTATTGCTATCGTGGCCACCAAAGTATGGAAGTATCAACTTGCCCCCGCTTTCCTGATATTGGTCCTTGGATTAATTGCCACTCCTCCTGCCGAAAACCCTGAGCCTTGTGATGCAGGCTGGCATCATTGCCTACCGCATTGCGGCACACGCTGCAGACTTGGCCGCTGGGAATACTTAGGTAGTTTATGCCCCTGCAGGATTATGTCCAGCGTATTTCGAGAAATGGCCATGCATGAGGCGAAGGAGAGAGAGGGAGAGAGATAGAGAGAGAGAGAGAGAGAGATAGAGAGAGAGAGAGAGAGAGAGAGGGAGAGGGAGAGGGACTGTGTTTGGCGCTGTTCTTGCTTTGGCCACTTCCCTGGACCCCAATCCCTGAACCATAAACTCTCAACAACATGAAGTGTTGCGCCGGGTTGGAGGACTCACTCAATGAAGTGCTTGCGGAGAAGTAGCCTCCTAAGGCCTCAGCACCCACAGCCACACCCCACACCTGACACGACACCAATCCACAACAACCCTACAGCTTGAGGTGTCAGAATTGTAGAGGCTTCTTAGTGTTTGGTGGTCTAGGGTTTAGGGATTTAGGGTGGGTTTAGGGTTAGTTAACTTGAGTTGGGTTCTGGTCTACAGTGTAGTACACACAGGAATGATATTCGTGATTCTTCAGTGTTCAGGATTACTTCAAACGTTTCCATCAGGATTACTTCAAATGTTTCAAAAGTTTAGGATTTGCTTTCGGGAGTTGGCACGAGCGGCGGGAAGAGTCCTTCTCAAGATCAAGCCATTGGGAATCCTGGAATAGTTGGGGGTTTCCCAAATTTGGGGGTCCCTATAGTACGGAGGGCTATAATTAACTACTGTGTCCCCTTATTTTGGGAAGCTACCGTTTAGAGCTCTACTGGAGTGGCTTCCGGTAACTCGCTCCCACTCAAGCTTGTGCGGAACGAAAGGCCTTCCAGTAAGAATTCGACCCTTCGTGCTAAAGCCTGAAGAGGTGCCGAAGGAACAAAGACTCAGACACGAACATCTTGTTAGCCTTTGGGCTAGCATTTTGCAGTCAGCCGCCTTCTACATCTGCAAGAGTCGCAATGCGCAGATGCAAGTGTGAATGGCAGAGTAATTAGCGAGACATATGCTCAACGCGGACGAGAGTTCAAGTGCTGATTGTAGCGGCCTAGACGACTATCAATGTTATGGTCCTGGGTTCCATCCATCTTTACGTATGGCACGGGGTACCTCTTCACCCCAAGCAGACTTCAAAACGATTTCGGTTTCTGTTTTATAAAGCACCCGATATAAACCCAGTTGCCATGTCAGATTTGGCTCTCCTTTATCCCACTAAACCCTAAAGCTTGTATACACATGCCCCCAATACAACCCATTCAAAGAGAACCTTAAACTATGTAGACCGCTGTAGACCCTTGTATAACCCCTGTAGAACCCTCTACATAGCCCTACGATCCGTAAACCCTGAACCCTACACCCTAAACCCCAAACCCAAAACCGAGCCGAGGCAAAGGGGCATCCAAAAGCCCAGGAATGGGATGACGCCCTCTCCAAAGCACGTTTCGAGTTGCCTGACGGGTTATACTGGCATCTGTGGGGGTTCAGGGTTTAGGGCTTAGGGTTCAGCCTTCCGACTCCACGTCTGGCCGAGTATAGAGATGCCCAAACCACAATTCCGTTTGTGTTCCAAGAGTATTCGATCACCAGAGTATCCATGCCCTAACCATAATTCCGTTCGTGTTCCAAGAGCATCCATGCCCAAACCATAATTCCGTTCGTGTTCCAAGAGCATGCGATCACCAGAGCATCCATGCCCAAACCAGAATTCCGTTCGTGTTTCAAGAGCATACGGTCACCGGAGCATCCGCACTCGTAGCCCCTCAACATGTTAAATCGTATTGAAACTGTGGCTTAACAGGTCCAGTCAAAGGGCTTGGACCCCCTCATCATGCGCAATCCTGCTGGT